GATGTCCCATCTTCACATCGATGATGTCCCATCTTCACATCGATGATACCTTCCATCGTGTAGTCTGGCACTGTCATTGCGCCAAATTGGATAGCTTTCAAACAAATCCAGCAACTCGAGACTAGTAAGTCAGAGGCTAGGAATCCTGTGGTGAGTAACTCCTCGCCTGACTCTCTTAAGCTTGACCACCATCTACAAGGCACAAGTCAGGAGTCTGGAATACTCCCCAATTCCCCGGATGGGTGCAGCTCCAAAAACACAAGCTTGATACTATTCAAGACAAAGCAGCTCACTTGATTGGCACCACATCCACAAATGTCGACTCCATACACTCAATAGCAGCAGTGTGTACAAGATGCACTGCAACAATTCACTAATTGACAGGAACAACATCATAATTCCATACTGGAATCTGGACTTGTAACCCATCAATCTTATTAACTGTACTCATTGCATTCATGTAGTGTGACCCTGATCTCAATCTACTTTCTTCTTTGCTGCACCTCCACGTGTTAATTTGCCATTCCAATCCCAGTTTTAGTGCATCCTAATATTACTGTCTGATTTGGTCTGTTTCCCTCTCCCCTGCCAAGTAAATTTAAAGCTCCCTTCCACCCCATCCCAGTAGTAGTAACAAATTGCCTCAGAGATATCAGTCCTCCCTCTATTCGAATACAACCCATGCGGCTTGTACAGGTCCCATTTCCACTGGAGTTATTCGCAGTGTTCCAGGAATCTAAAGATCTCCCTCCTAAACCATGTTTCCAGCCACACATTCATCTTTCTGTTTCTGTATTATTTTATGGCATTGAGAGTAATCTGGAGATTAGTACTGTTCAGCTCCTGCTTGCTAATTTTCCACAAGCCCCTTAAATTCTGACTGCAGGACCATATCCCCTTTCCTACCTGTATCATTGGTACCAACATGGACCGCAATATCTGGCTGTTCACCCTCTCCCTGTGATGATCAGTGTGAGATTTATGTAAATATTTTTAGAATTTTGGTTTCAAAACACTGGCATTTGAATGTTGGTTTGTGAAGGATTTTCTTTTTAGATCTCACAGTTCTTCTGGAACAGCGGTCTAATCAGTACGTCAGAGTGGTGCCTGTGAATTTCTAGAGCAGTAGTGAAAAACTATTTATACCATGGTGGGTTACGACAGGTAGATAAACATGTCCTAGGTTTCCACTTAGAATAATCAGGGATCGATTTTATTGTAGAAAATCCAGATATTTAAGGTTTTTAGGGCAGTGCAGAAGAGACTTGACTGGAGTCAATAGCAGTTCTGGAAATGTTTAGTTTGTAAAATCTCCAAATTAGGAACATTTAGTTAGAAATCTGGAGGTTATTAAAAGCTGAGAAAACTAAAGTCCTCAATTTTGCAAGTATTCAATGTAGGAAAACTCTACATTTCACAAAAATGGGGAAGAATCAGAACTTAGAGATTTGATTTGGAAAGATTCTTTTTATTTTGAATGGTCTTCTATATCCAACTTGTTTTGTTTTTGTCTTTGTGTAATGAACTTGTCAAAGATACTCTGCAGCCTGTTGTGACTGTTTAAGTGGCTAACTGCTACATTGACTTGATAGATTTTTTTTTTTTATTTTAGCTATAGAATGCCTAGTGTGGAGAGGCTATTGGGCCCATTAAGTCTGCACCTACCCTCCAAACAGCGTCTCACCCAGATTCAGCTCCCTACCCCATCCCATTAACCCTGCATTTACCATGGCTAATCTACCTAGCCTGTACATCCTGGACACTACAGGCAATTTACCAGACCAATACGCCTAACCTGCAGATCTTTGGACTGTGGGAGGAAACTGGAGCACTTGATGAAACCTGCACAGACATGGGAGAAGATGCAAACTCCACACAGTCATGTAGGGCTGGAATTGAACCTCTGTCTCTAGTGCTGTGAGGCAGCAGTGCTAATCGCTGTGCCACGGAGCTGCCTGAGTTTTATGCAAGAGTCTGACTTTCCCAGTAGTGGCCTTTAGTTGGGATCATAATACCCTGAGGACTGTCCTGTAACCTGTTTAACCCTAGCACCAGGGGTCAACATACCATGCTGGAGTCATCTTTGTCATCACAAAGACACTTGTTTGTTATCCTAATTAATTAATCCCCAATTGGTGTTCTACTCATCTTCATTCCCTCTATAACTGGGCCACATGTATTGCCACAGGCTTGGCTCTTGATGCATTCCTCGAAAGAACTCTCATCTTCATCAGTACCCAAATCTGCCTGGTGGTCAACCATTCCCCAGCTGCCTTTCTACCCCTACCCTACAGTGTGACCATCTTTCTGAATGTTCTATCTACAGTTCTGTGCCTCATGGATGCACCAAAGTGATTCAAGCTCTGAAACCTATTGCTTGAGTTTGTCCAGCTGGTGGCACTTCTTGGACGTGTGCTTATATGGGCCTTGTGAAGTGTCCATGACTCCCCACATCATAGGATGGGCATTCTGCTTGTCCAAACTGCCCTGCCATAGGTTAATCTTGGTTTTGTACTATTTACTACAAATGTATTTTTCTTGCACTAGATAGTTTTAAGCACCGATGTTTTTCAAAAATTACTGATTTTGAGACTCTTCCCCGACACACTTCTTCTGCAGGCTTTTTGTGTCATCCACAAACTTGGCAACATTGCATTCATTTTCCTCATCCAAATCATTACTATAAATGGTAGATAATTGTGGTCCCAGCACTGATCCCTGTAGCACACCCCTAACTTGCAATGTCCAATCTTGTACCGGTGACGTCTGCAAGCACAGTTCAGTGAGAAGTTATCAAGTCACAGTGAATGCTCAAATTGTTAGTTGGAATAAGAAATCCCAATGTGGATGTATTATTGCAGTTTGAGAGCTTATGCTGTGTGACATGGGGCCACCCCTGTAATTATGCTGCATTATCAAATAACTATTTATTAATCTCATGTAATTTCAAAGTAAAATAAAAGATAAAAAGATATTTTTAAAACCTGCAATGCAACAAATTACTCAAATCAGACTTTATACACATCACTTCTCCATGATTTAAAAAAAAACACCTTTATTCATTCAACCTCCATGCACAACTGATAAATCATCATCCCTTGTCTGGCATTATTCAGAAACTATTACAGTCTTTCCAGCTTTACTATTAAAGAAAACTAAAACATGCCTCTGATAAGACATACATCAATCAGTCATGTTTTTGTGTCTTAATATGGCATGTAGAACTGTGAAAATACAACAGAATAATTCACACTTGCTCGTCTGTTCACAGAACAAGATATAGAAAACGTAATCCTGTTGACGGCTCTAAAATAAGGTGCTTTTCCAGAGGCAGTGCACACTTCATTGCTGTCTGACCTTAAAAGAACATTTTCTACTGTACTGGTAGTGACTCCAGATGTTTCAATTTGAAATGTCAGTTTCGTGTTCTGCAATCATTAAGTTCAAAGAGCCCAAAATGTTTTTAGTGGCAGACCCTTGTAGCTTTTATTTAATCCATCCAATTAGATTCTAATCCAGATTTCCAGAGATTGAAAAAAAAGTCCATCTTTCTTTTTTCAGATAAATATCTACTCATCTATTCAGGAAGATAATTTGTGAAAACTGACAGAATCATGAAAGCTTCCACTAAGTCATTCAGGAGCAACTATTCATGGAAAGTACAGCTTTGTAAGGCAATTAGTAGGCTATGAAAACCTTTCACTGCATGTGTCTGTACTATTAAAATGAACATATGCCTGAATTATCCACCCCAAATATGTTTACAGTGATCCTCTTTAGCTGAATGTCACAATCAAAAACACAATATTTTGGTATTTTTCATGAAGGCATTATAGGCAGTTGTTTCAAATCATTAAAACGCATAACCTTGAATATCCCACAGCATGGATATGGAGATGACCCATTCCTTTTAAAAAAAAAGGTTCTGTGACACCATACAAATATAAGTGGATATAAACCGTATACCTGTGCAAGGAAACCTGCCCCCCGCGCATAACAGCACTGTGTAAGCTTGGTAGCAAATCAAGTATATAGCGCAAATATATTTGGATGTATATATGAAAGAGCAAAGAAACCCCTGTAAACATGGTTCACTTTCAATGCGCTTTGGGTAAACAGAAAGCAAAATACTTGTAACATATCTGGTACATGCTTTGATTTTAAAATTAAAAAAAAAAGCAACATCTTGACATTTTGCCGGTGTACATTTAACAGGTATTTAAATGATATTAGTGTACTATTTAATGTGGTTTCCTTTCTACCCAGTAGAGATACCACATGTGGGAAAGCTCCTCTTCATATCTAGTGCTGGCTGTCTCAGCCAATTGCACCCTAGATGAATAAACACAGCTATGGAACTAAAAGGACTGAAGCATTACTGTAGCTGATAAAGGTGCATGTGTTTTTACTGTGGTCCGCTGTCTGCTTATGGTTAATGCGTGTTAAAATAGAAAATGAATCTCACACTAGTTCTTGTGCACTGTAATCACCAATGGTCAGTTCTACGTTTCAGCGACACTATAATGGCAATTTGTTATGTAGCTTAGCAGTTAAATACATGTTTCTCCTGTACTGTATACCGCAAACTTCTTAAGCAATGGCATACTATTAAAATTAGTGAAGCAACTGCAAGATATTTAAATATAGTTAGAAAAGTATAAAAGCAGTTTTTAAACAAAAAAATGACCTAATATGCAAAAACAAATACATATCTTTAATCCTGCATTTTAGACTGATATTATTAATATTCAGACTGTCTATTTGGACAGAGGCTGGTTTGCCAGACTTCAGTTTTTGATGACTCGTGCTTTAAAGTGTCGTTTTCCATCCAAGTAAAGCATAGATTCTGTAAGTAGAAACCAGAAGATCAAACTGATGTATATATTTGTAATCACAGATGCTGACAATCTCCAGTAGCACATTTTTTTAAAAACAGAGAAGTTACAGCTGGGGGAACTATTCTGTTAATTTCAGGATGACAACTCTTAAGATCAGCCTTTAGTAATTTGTGAATAATCTCACCACGTCTTCCTTTTCTAATCAGCGCAGCGTTCTGAATGCAGTTGATGGGTTTGGTAACCAGTGCTGCCCTTGGCTGAACAATCTGGTGTGCATGGTAACAACGTGGAGATGTCTGTAAGGAAACTCCTAGGCTGTGTTCATTAAAACTGCAAGCATTGAATCAGTATGGAGGCATTCCTGAAGTCTGTATCCTGTACTGTATATATGTGTTGCCTTTCTCATTCCAGACCAAGAAATCCTGCAGTTTAATGAGAACATCGTCCTGCATTGTGTTGGTTTAAGTTCAGACACGCTAGGACAACCTTTGGTGTGCTCTTTGTTTTTGAGGATGTGGAGCTGATTAGTTGAAGGGTAGATTTTGCACTGAGCTGCAGGTACCTTGCTTGGACTTTGGTTTCCCCAGAAAGCCCATCATCTATCTCTGCCTTACTGCCTAGTAGTAGTGGTAGAATTCAGGACATCCAGTTTCCTGTTCTGTAAGCATTCGTGGTGCACTCAGGCCCACAGATCCAACTCAGAGATCATACAACTTGCAGCCACACTGTTGAATCTGAAGTGTTTGAGCAACTACAAATTTAGGGATGGGGAATAAATATGGTTTTTCTTATTTCATCCAGAAAAATACATGAGTACATAATGACCATGAAGTCCTCCTACACCGTTTCATGTGTGAAGGAGACTAATTTATTCATTACACCCGAGTTAAGCTTTCTCGCCCGAACGCAGAAAACCAACAATTTAATTCCGTGTGTAGTACTACTTGCATTTTCTGTCAATATTGGATTGATGCAAATGCAGCAGATTAGATCCTTAAGCTCTCTTCACTTAGAGAGGATATATTGATGCCAATGCAATTATACAGAGTGAGTAGTAAAACTAAAAAGCTAAGTAACCAACTTAATTAACAGGAAACCTCATTTAGCAACTGCCTCTAATTGTTCAAAATTACAAGAATATGATCTCTCAGCTACATATATTGCAACCAACGTGAACAAAGTTGTTTTGAAACCAGACACTGGGTCAGAAATATATTACCTCCGTAAGTCTTAGGGATGACCTGCTTCACTTGTGTCTCACAACCAAAGGTGAAATGGAAGATATTGGTGGTGCTGTGCTCTTGTGTGAGCGGGTCTACAACTTCACTGTGCACTCTGACCTGGATGTACTTGTCTTCAGTATAACAAACCTATGGAGCGAGGAAATGACATTATTAGAGAGCAACAAAACAGTTGGCTTTAATAGGCTTTAACACCCTTTTTGGTTAATAAATATTTTTTAAGATTGCTCTAATAGGCAATTACAAGATCTCAGCAAAATTGTAAAGGTTAACAAACTGACAAGCAAGCACGTTTCATTACAGAAAGGGCCGATTGGATCTAATTTGAGAAAATTGTTCTATTACGAAATGGATACTGAGGGGATGACTTTATCAATCCGCACTTTGGGAAAATAGTCCCTGCCTATTCAGCCTCTCTCTATAGCTCAAACCCTCCAACCCTGGCAACATTCTTGTAAATCTTTTCTGAACCCTCTCCAAGTTTCACAGCATCTTTCCTATAGCAGGGAGACCAGAACTGAATGCAGTATTCCAAAAGTAGCCTAACCAATGTTCTGTACAGCCGCAACATGACCTCGCAACTCTTTAAATATACACATTACAATAAAGACAGTTGTGTATCTGGGCACAAGTTAAGCAATTTGGATGAAAACTGTGCCACATTACCTTGGCATGTCACGCAGTAAGAGAGAAAACTCAGTAAGATGAGTCCTTTCCACCCGTAGGTCACATACTCTGATCACTTCTTGAGCATGTCGCTTAAAGGTATGGTGCAACCTAACTGAGACCAGCAATTTCTCTAAGCTGTGCTGACATCATGCCCTGCATTGACTTCAGATTTTGGAAGTTGCTGCTGCACACTAATCTCGGAGATCCATGCAGAAGATAAGAAAATTACAGAGAATGTAGGTTGAGACATAACACAACAGTTAAGGTGTTTAAGTTTACCTTTCCAATTAAGGCAAGAAAGTATAACAGTTAATCAAATCTAGTCTTTGACAGTTATTTGGCTAGGTTTAATTGCTCACTGCTGAGTAGATCCAGGGTTCAGTTCTGGAAAGTATATCAAATTGGCAGATGGCTAGAAAGTACATTGATATGGGAGGACAGGCACCTAATGAGATGGACTAGAACCCACCAGAGGGTTTTTCTGACTGTATCAAATGAAATGGAGTGTATAACTAGATTAGACAAACACTGACACCTCATTATTGGAAGCACTGACATTACCTGTGATGAAAGGTACAGCAGGGAGCCAATCTCAACTGGTTTCTGAAACAAGATGTCATCGACAGCGATTGCATGAGGCCGCGAATTCCTGAAAACAAACAAAAATTTGCAAATGGTGCCAGTTGGAAATGCAGGACATTAGCAATGATGCATTCATTAATTCAGGAAAAGACAATATTAACCCCACTTTCCCTAGCCCTAGCTTCTCCACTGCCACATGTTATCTGTCGTCAAGGACAAAAACTATCCCAATGTCTTGAACAAGATCACTCTGAACCTGCTCTTGGAGAAATACATCTGTGATGCCACTGAAGTAGCACTCTGAAACATCAGCCATCGAGAAGGCTGCTTTAGTTATCCTGACACCAGTAGACAGCCCTTTCTCACGTAGCATTGTACGTTTGCTCATGTGTTTGTGGGCTTATATAACCCAAGGTGTGAAGTGTGTGCATAAAGACTTTTTTTGGGAGGTATGGTGGCTTGGTGCTTGGTACTACTGCCTCAAAGCACCAGGGACCTGGGTTTGATTCCAGCCTTGGGTGACTAACTGTGTGGAGTTTGCACATTGTTGCCATGTCTGCGTGTTTCTGCCGGATGCTCCAGATTCGTCCCAGTCCAAAGATGTACAGGCTAGGTGGATTGGCCATGCTAAATTGTCTGTAGTGTCTACCTCGGGTGAAGGTGTTAAATTGGGGAAAAGGCAAACTGCAACAATATTAGGCCGGAATTGGAGGTTGATTGGAGGTGGCTGATTGAAGGTAAATCCACATCGGACATGTGGGAATATTTCAAATGGTAGTTGCTGAGAGTTCAGGAGCGGTACATTTGTGTGAGAATGAAGGATAGGTGTGGCAAGTTAGGTGACCAGGGATGTTAATGAGCCGATACAGTGTAGAGCCGGAGGAACACGACAGGTCAGGCAGCATCAGAGGAGCAGGAAAATTAACGTTTCAGGTCAGGACCCTTCATCAATGACCTTGGTCAAAAAGAAAAAGGAAGCATACGTAAGATCTAGGAGAATGGGAACTGTTGAAGCCCTTGAAGTATATAAGCAAAGTAGGAAAGAATTTAAACAAGGAATTAGAAGGGCTAAAATGGGTCATGAAAAATCATTAGCAAACCAGATTAAGGAGAATCCCAAGGCTTTTTATACATATATATAAACCAAGAGGATAGCCAGGGAAAGGGTTGGCCCACTCATGTGTTACGGACCAGACCAGACCTCCTCAAAATATCTTAAGGTACCTAGGCCCTAACATTTTCTTATTTTAAAGGTAAATGTGAAGTGGCTGTTCCAAATGTGAGGCAACTGGTCAAACCACTCAACGTTAAGCAAAACACAATTTATTTAAACACTAAAGTTAAAATACAAACAAAAGAAAGAGGAATTTAGAATAACTTAACTATTGGAAAACTTAACCAAATACCAGATACAGTAACTTTACTAATTAACTGTTCCAATATAGTAACATCCCATAAACACACCCCTTGGCAAAAAGGTAAATTCAAACAGAGATTCTTACAGGCAGCATTCCAATCCAGGAGGGAACAAGACAGATTTCAGAGAAGGTCAGTAAGGAATCATTTACTGAAGCTTGCACCCCTTCTACTACAGCTTAAAAAAAATTAGAAAGCTTGAACTGTGAAAACTGACTGCTCCCCTTCCATTGTACGACTGTTTTTAAAAAAAAACCCTAAAGGCCTCTTACATTATTGACTTAGGCTGATTCCCGAGCCACTTCAGCACCTCTGCCTTTACAACCGCTCTTCAAAAAAAAAAACCAGGACAAAATAATCTTTTTAAAGTGACAGCATTGTCACACAAGGACAAAGGAGGGCATCTATGTATGGAGCCAGAAGAGGTAAGTGAGGTCCTACATGAATACTTTGTGTCGGTATTCACCAAAGAGAAGGAATTGATGGAGGATGATCTTGGGGAAGGGAGTGTCAAACTTCTAAGCCAAGTTGCTATTAAAAAGGAAGAGGTGTTGTGCATCTTTAAAAAGTATTAAGGCAGTTAAGTCCCTGGGTCCTGATGGGATCTATCCCAGAATATTGAGGGAGACAAGAGAACAAATTGCTGCAGCATTTTCAGACATCTTTGTATCCTCTTTGGCCACAGGTGAGGTCCCAGAGGACTAGAAAATAGCCTACATTATCTCATTATTTAAGAAGGGCAGCAGGGATAATCTAGGAATTTACAGGCCTGTGAGCCTCACGTTGCGGGTAGGGAAATTATTGAAAAAGATTCTTAGAAACAAAATCTATATGCATTTAGAAGCAAATGGACATATTAGCGATTGACAGCATGATTTGATGTGGAGGAGGTAGTGCTTCATTAACTTGATCAAATTTTTTGAGGAGGTGGCAAAGATGATTGATGAGGGAAAAGCAGCTGATGTTGTCTACACGGACTTCAATAAAGCCTTTGACAAGGTCCCTCATGGCAGACTGATACAAAAGGTGAAGTCACATGGTATCAGGGTGAGCTGGCAAGACGGATACAGTGATGGTTTAGTCATAGGAGACAGAAGGTAGCAGTGGAAGGATACTTTTCAGAATGGAGGGCTGTGACTAGTGGTATTTCACAGGGATTAGTGTTGGAACCTGTGCTGTTTGTGGTCTACATAAATGATTTGGAGGAAAACATGGCTGGTCTAATTAGTAAGTTTGCAGACAATACAAAGATTGGAGGAGTTGCAGATAGTGAGGAGGATTGTCAGAGGATAAAGCAGGATATAGATCAGTTGGAGACATGGGCAGAAAAATGACAGATGGAGTTTAATCCGGGCGAATGTGAAGTGATGCACTGTGGAAGGTCAAGTACAGGTGGAAATTATACAGTGAATGACTGAACCCTGAGGAGTATTGATATGCAGAGGGATCTGGGTGTGCAGGTCAACAGATCACTGAAGGTGGCAGCGCAGGTAGATAAGGTGCCAAAAAAAGGTTTGTGGCATGCTTGCCTTCATTGGGAGGGGCATTGAGTATAAGGTTAGGCAGGTTATGCTGCAGCTTTCTAGAACTTTAGTTAGGCCACACTTGGAACATTGCGTACAGTTCTGATCACTACACTACCAGAAGGATGTGGATGCTTTGGAGAGGGTACAGAAAAGGATTACCAGGATGTTGCCTGGTATGGGGAATTTTAGCTATGAAGTAAGGTTGGATAGACTAGGTTTGTTTTCACTGGAACGCAGGAGGTTGAGGGGCGACCTGATAGAAGTTAATAAGATTGTGAACAGCATGGATAGAGTGGAAAGTATGAGGCTTTTTCCCAGGGTGGAGGGGTCAATTACTAGGAGATGCAGGGTCAAGATGTTGGGGGGAATTTAAAAGAGACGCGCGAGGCAAGTTTTTTCACACAAAGGGGTGGTGAGTGCCTAGAATGCGATGCCGACGAGGTGGTGTAAGCAGACACAATAGCAGTATTCAGGAAGCACCTGGACAAATACATGAATAGGAAGGGAATAAAGGGATTCGGATCCTGTAAGTGAAGGCAGTTTTAGTATGGAAGGGCAAAATGTGTCAGCACAGGCTTGGAGGGCTGAATGGCCTGTTCCTGTGCTGTATTGTTCTTTGTTCTTTATCTTGGGATGTGCAGACTAGGTGGATTAGCCATGGTACATGAAGGGTTACGGAGATGGGTAGGTGGCTGGGTCTGGGTGCCACCTACCTTTGGAGGATCAGCACTGAGTCGTTGGGTCAAATGGCCTCTATGGTTCTATGAAAGACTATTGGACAATACAGGACCACAATTAAATGCATGGATGAAAACAAATGTGACAATCCTAGAAAAATTCATATCAATGACCATATTTGATTGTCTCATGAATGCTTGAAAGCAGGGTTTTGGAGAAACAGCAAGTAAAATTGAAAAAAAAACATAGTATCAACAACAGAAGGCAGAAACTGCTAAAGTCTACAGTACATCAGAGTAAAAGAAAAGGTGTAATGAACTCCTGATACTTTCAATTCAAATATACACAAAATACAAGGCTCTTACCCATAGAGGCATGCATTTGCCCAAGCCAACTCAAAGGCTTTCCTCATCAGAAACCCACCAAAGATTTTGTTGAAAATATTACGTTCCTGAATTTTAAAAAAGAGAGATAAATTAGAATACTGTTTACTGAGATGGTGCATGAATACTTCAATCATAGATCTTATATCTTTAATACACAATATAAAGGGCACACCTCAATTTTCATTGAGCAGAAAGGAAATTTAATCAAAACCAATTTTGATGACTTAAGAACTCAAGGCAAACATACATTGAAGATCTAGTCCTTCTAGAATACTGCCACGACATTGTTCAAGAAGTCACTTTGTTGGTGATGGATACTGCGGGATCACAACTCCAGGTAAAAAATTCGGGAAAATCTTCAGGTGGTCTTCCACAGACAATGAAAATGTTCTTTAATTTGTTCTTGGAGTAGGTAAAACAATTTGCATGGTTATAGTGAAAGGGCAGGGAGTGGGACTACCTGTTGTAGAAAGCCTGCATGAGCTCAACAAGCCAAAAGGCCTCCTTACATACAAACATATGAATTTTAGAGGTCGTTCAGCCCCTTTAGCCTAGTCCACAATTTGATCAAATCATGGCTGAACTGTTTATGGACTCAACTCCGTTTGCTTGCTAACCCCCCACCTGCCTAGTATCCTTTGACTCCCTTGTTAGTTAAGAATCTACCCACCTACACCTTAAAAACATTCAATGACCCTAACTTCAGTGCTCTACAAAGAGCAAAATGCTTCTCATCTCCATTGTTGATCACAGAATCCTTACAGTGTGGAAACAGGCCCTTTGGTCCAACAAGTCCACACTGACCCTCAGAGCATCCCACCCAGGCTCATCCCCCTATTACCCACCTAATCTACACATCCCTGAACATTATGAGCAATTTAGCATGGCCACATCTTTGCACTGTGGGAGGAAACCCACTCAGACACAGGGAGAATGTGCAAACTTCACACAGACAGTCGCCCGAGGGTGGAATTGAACCTGGATCCCTGGTGCTGTGAAGCAGCAGTGCTAACCACTGAGCCCCCCCTTTTTTTTTTAAGGAAGGCTAATCATATATCCACCCATCTCTCTCTCTCTCAAGTTGAAGCGAAATTCGATGATACTGTGATCACTGCTACCTTTGGATGCTTTCACTCTGAGGTTCATTAATTAATTTTTTCTCATTCCACATTAACAGATATTCTGCTCAGAGTGTGCTGTTCATTTCCAATTTATAAACTGTCTCTTGTTCTTGTCTCTCTCTCAAGGGGAAACATGCTTTCAGCATTCACCCTGTCAAGTCCCATTGGGATCAAACTTCAATAGATACAGGCCCAGTTCATCCTTGTAAGATAGCCCCACATTCCAGAATGAAACTTCTCTGATTTGCTTCTCATGCAATTGTGTTGTTTCTTCAACAAAAACAGAAATTGCTGGAAAATCTCAGCAGATCTGGCAGCATCTATGGACAGAAATCAGAGGTGACATTTGGGGTTGAGTGACCCTTCCTCAGAACATTAACAGAAACGTTAACACTGATTTCTATCCACAGATGCTGCCAAATCTGCTGAGCTTTTCCAGCAATTTCTGTTTGTGTTTTTGATTTACAGCGGTTCTTTCATTTTTTTTATTTTGTGTTTTTTTTTGGCTGTGAAATGTGTTGGAACATCCCAAAGTAATGTAGATACATTCTTCTTTCTTCATACTTATATATCATTTTACAGACATTATACTAGCACTGAATGCCCTATAGAGAAGCAACAAACTAGGTGCCAAACATAAGAGATGATCTCAGAAAAAAGCATGATAATCCATCAAGGGGCAAGTTAAGGACAATTCTTATTCAGACATGCAAGAAATGCCTTGGATTATATGTGAATTTTATTTTAAATAAAGCCAAATTTTAGGGCAAGAAGATATAAATTAAATTTGAAGAAAATATTTTGAACAATTTCTAAGCTAAATGTGCAATAAAATGCAGAACAATTCCTCAAAGTGGTACAGGCAAGACGTAAGGGAATTCAAAACCAGACCAGGAGCTATAACAGAACTGACACAGGATAGAAAGCTTTGTTGAGGCAATGATCCGGACTCGCAAATCTCTTTGGACCTCCACAATTTCTAGCTTTTCACCATTTAGAAAGTAACCTGTTCTTTCCTTTATGGGTCTGAAGTGGATAACCTCAAACTTGCCTACATTTTCACACTTACATAAAATCCTTTTCCTACATCTGCCTATTCATTAAGCCATTCAATATTTCTTTACAACAGTTGGCATGGTGGCTCTGTAGTTAGCGCTGCTGCCTCACAGGGCGAGGGACCCGGGTTCAATTCCACCCTTGGGCGACTGTCTGTGTGGAGTTTGCACATTCTCTCCGTGTCTGCATGTGTTTCCTCCCATGGTCTAAAGATGTGAAGGCTAGGTGGATTGGCCATGCTAAACTGCCCGTAGTGTTCAGGAATGTGCAGATTAGGTGGGTTACAGGGGGATGGGTCTGGGTGGGATGCTCGGAGGGTTGGTGTGGACTTGTTGGGCCAGAGGAGCTGTTTCCACACTGTCGGGATTCTATGAAATTACACTTCCTTACATGCAAATTTGGACTACGTAATAAAACAAGTCCTCAAATACCTTCAACTGAAGACTATTGCCACTACTAAATCAGATAACTGTCAGCTACTGAAAACCTGTTAATTTTTATAATTATGTACGCTGTCACTTGAGTTCTTGAGATACAGAGATACACTGTTAGAATTGACAACAGTCTTGATGTTGCACTCACATTCACTGCCCATGAATCTATGTAATGTATAAGGTGAAATAATGCATCGCCGGCTGAATTTCAGCAAGAGAAATGAAGGAGGAAAACCAGGGAGAGGAATTGCAAGGTAAGGATTCAATATGTGCCGAAAAAGAGGGACATGCTGTTAAAACTTTTCTTTTCGCACTCATCAGGACTGTTGCAAGAAATAAACAACAGTTTATACTGAATATGACACAGATACTGACTAGTTGCTTAGTCGACTCTGGTTGGTCAAGGCATTGCTGTGGTGATTGTATCACAGGAGAGGGTGCAGAGGAGATTTACCAGGAAGTTGCCTGGACTGAA